GAGGTAATTTAATCAACTATCTAATTTTCCAGTATAAAATGGAATAGTTACGCTGGGCAGATGGGAAGAGTATAAAACATCCCCTATCCCTTTTCACCATTGTTAACCTGTTCAGCCAAAATGGCAGATTTACAAAGATATGCACACATCTCCAGTTTGCACACACAACTAACCATCTATTTGCATATGAAAATACTTGATTTGGGTTTGCAGGTCTGGCATAGGATGTTTTCAGGTTGCCCACATAAATTGCCCACATATCACTGGGTGCAATGATTAAACATGAAACATATATGTCAAAAATTAAAAAAAGGAAATGTTGCAACTCTCTTAGATGAACATGAGGTGTTTTAATAGAGAATTTCTATCTGCTTCTTTACTGTGTAGTCAAAATGGGGTTAAAGCGGAAGAGTGGCTAATGATACTGTTACGCATAAACATTAAGTCACCAAAGGCTTAAAATAATGGTCAAGACATAAGAAGCCAGATTCAGGGAGCATACCTATCCTTAAGACAGATTATGCTACTTCAAAATCATTTGAAGAAATGTGAGATATAATATGGCATGTCAAAAAAAGAAAATGCAATCAGTTCATTTACTCTAAACAGAAATTAAAGAAAGAAATAGCCTTGAGGAGCACAGACACCTCTGATCTTTCTCACAGCATGGGCTGTCTGTATTTCCCGTGTAAAACTGCAAATAATCATAAACAATGGGAGTCTAAAGAAGCCTCAAGAGCAACACATAATTTTCCCGTTAAACTGAATGAAAACTGTTCCCAGGTAATATGTTTTACTTGTGATTAACAAAATGGAAGAGACAGAGACCCTGGGCCAAATTTTGTCTTCCACTGATGTTGGGAATGTTGCATGGTCTGTTGGGTGTACTACATGGCTCATAATATTTTTCAAATTAAGACATAAAGAGCCATTCAGCCACCACCCCTTCCAACACAGATAGGGTTCTGACGATACCCTTGGGCACAAAGATGAGTTTAAGCCAGGACTGTCCAACTTCAGAGCAGCTGGAGCCTGCACACTGCACAGACCAGGGGTCCCAGGACCTTATGGGCTCCCTGGGACTAATACCATTTGCAGCCCCCAAACAGCACTAGCAGCAAGAGCCCCCCACTGTCACTGCTGTGTGAGCCTCCCCCACTGCTGCCTCTTCCTTCTACCACCCTGGCCACATGAGCCCCTCCACTGCCAGTACCATATGGGCAAAATCCCCCCTGGTTGTGGGAGCTCCCTCCACTGCCACCACCCAATGGGCAAAGCCCCACCACCACCACCACAGCACTGCATGAGCAATGTGAGCTCTCTGCCCGAGCCCCCCTGCTGGCACTGGTACATGAGCAGCACATTCAGCCACCTCCCCGCATGCTGCCCTGCCCCAGAGACACCGGGCACCGCTGCCACAGCAGACAGAGCAATGTGAGCGGTGTTCAGCCAAAAGCCCAGGGGCTGCATGTTAATTCCTCACAGCCTGGATGACCACCAGTTGGACAGCCTCAGGTTGAGCCATTCAAAATCAGAATCAAGGCCATCCAGCCAGCACAAGCCAGTCAACCTGAGACTCCAAAATGTATCACAAAACCCTACACAAACCTCCCGTCATTCATGGCAGAATCATTTCTTCTTCCCCTACTGCCTTATGAAGGGATCACGCACTTTCACCTTTTCTGTGACTTCCCCACCCGAGCTTATCCCCAGCTGGACCTCAAAGAGAGTGCTGAAACTGCAACCTCCTGAAAGCCCCTGACCCCTAAGTGTCTGATACTAGGGAGAGGCCAGGGAGAGGTCCTGGCCCACGATGCCCAAGATATTAAAGTCATGTGTTTGTGTTACTCCCTCCTAAGACATGGGAGGGGGCTTGTGAGAGGAGTGTGTGATTTATATCCTCTGATGTTGGATTACCAGCCCCCCCACCACTATAAACTGCAGAGCATTTCTGCACGTCCCATTTGGTGGACTGGCTTGAAGTACTATATATTGCACTGTCACTAAATTCAGGAGTACCTTTGGGATTTCTGTTCTCTAAGTCAGCAGAAGCTTATAGCACTGCAGAGATGATATGGCTGTCAGTCTCTTGGGGAAAAGGTTCTTCTCATGTTGCTCTTGAAATGAGTGATGGAGCAGCATTAGAAACACCCTCACTGATAGACAGTGACAGTTTCCTTTATTGTCTAAGGTTAAAACTGCATCAGATACAGTACACAGTACTGTAAAATATCATGGCTTATTTCTGAACAGTGAACTAGTTGTTATATCAGGAAACCTTACACTGAGGATAAGCGTAATGGAATAAAGAAGAAATGGGAGACAGGATTAGTGAAAAATTATCTCCCTTCAGTACTGTTGTATGGATCCCCTACAGCTAACTGACTTTTGTGCCATCAGGCCTGACTGAAAGAAAGACAATGCATAAGTTTGGACACCTGAAAGGTAAACAAAATGCCACTCCAACTTTGATTTTGCATTTATTGCAAATGGCATTTTAAAAGTGAAGTGGCTTAACACACTGCACAGCTGTGGCGGGCACGCTGGGATCACACCACCGAACACCAATACTGTCTTGTCTCCATGTTTGCCATGATGCCACCAAACCATGTGGCTAGAACAGGAAGAAAAGAAAAACTCTGCTAAGGGGAGCTCCAGGAGAAATTTAGGTAGGGGTAATTATGTTCTTTCTAGCACTTATAAAAGGGTTTAATAAAATTAGCAATGACTGCAATGACCTTTGTTTTACACCACTTCTGAACAGCAGCACTTCCAGCAGTGCACCTAACATGGAGACACAAGTTTAGGGCATTACTCAAAGGGGAGACCTCCTCCTATTGAAATCACCATTGTTGTTCCCTGCCACACCTATATCCTTCCTAGCCTCCCTCCCTCCAAATATCCACTTGTCTTGATAAAGCTTGACTGTTGAAAACTGACATGGTTTGAAGTGTAAGGTTTTATGGCCACATAATCAACCATTGTTTCCAAGGTCAGGCATGTCCCACAATCTGACAACATGGAACACAGGACTTCATTTCAGTTGGCCTGAGTGATTTACAGTATCTGTTGTTAAAAACATGATCCAAATATATCCAGTTGATAGCACAAGGTTGAAATTAAATGTTTCAAAACTTTTTTTTCCAAAACTGGATCTCTTTCGAGTGAATGCATTCAAAAAAACAGCATTAATATACGGATTTTAATTGTGTTGTCAGATACTGTATACTGACTTTCATGATTATGTTCCCACTGTGCTTCAGAGGTTGTTGCAAATGCTAACACAGAAGGGAGTGGGTGTTTTACCTCTAACTAATGGCAGCATTTACTATCCTGAAGATCTCTTCTTCTATCCATCTAATAAACTGGTTTGTCAGTAGATAATACTAAATTCCATGTGACATACTTGAAAACTAAGTGTCAGACCCAGAATATATTTTCATTTCAGCGCACAAGAATTTATACTTGGAGCACCTATTATCTTTAATGGGACTTCCATGCCTAAATTTCTGAGCACTGAAAAGAGAATAGGCTCCCCAGTGAAGACAGTGCAGAAGTAGATAAGCCCCCAGGAGGGATAACTTCCTAGACAATCTTTTTGGGGAATTTTCTGGGTAGTATTCTTTGCAGACACAAAAAAGGTCTGGGAATTGCAAAAGGCCTATTGGACATAGTGGGGGTGGAATTTGATTTTGTTCTCTCTTTCAAGCATGCCTTTGAGGTTTGTAAATATGCACTGTGGTATTAAGGTTTTGAGAAAGTGGTTATACAGCAAATTTGAATGATTAATGGTCCAAGACATTTTAACATGTTATTTCTCTATTTTCAACATAAATAGTGTGTAAAGGGTGTTTAAAACTTTAATGAATCGAACTATATGAGTAAAGAATGTTAATCATTTTAATTGCCCAGTAGCCTGAAATTAGATTTAACAGTCAGATAATGTATCTTTAAAGGAATACAACCCTGCTCTATAAAAAATCCTTACCAAACCAATTCTAATAATTTCTATTTATCTTTTATGACATTAACTGTTATACCAGTCTGCCGACAGACAGCCTTACGCTCACATTTAGTTTAAATGTGGTGCAGTATAGTTTTTCATTATCATTAACGTGCTCCTGGTGGGCAGAGTGCAATGCAGTGGCACTGGTCACACTTCATTGCTTTATCTCATATGACAAAGAGAGATGATGTGCTTCAGTCCAGGCCAGAAGATGAAAGCAAAAGGTGGCCATGGAAAACTCCCCCTGCTGCCTAGGAACAGCATAAGGGCTGCATCGTGTGACTTGCTAACAGCACGAAGGGGCAGACAAATAGATTTTCCTCTATATTTATAACCAGCATCATTCTTCCTTTCAGGCCTTTCAGTGCAGGTAGCTGTTTTATATGAAATGAACAATCTTTATAGACGTACCAGAGCCATAACAAGGCTGATTTTCAGCGAGGCTGAGGTATATAACTCTTACAGAATTGTCAGGCTTCTTGCTCAACAAATCAAGCCTAACTTATGATGTTTGCAGTGTAATTTTTATTCCTGTTTGACTAGCCAACTACCCGGTGGTAATAGGATGTTAGAAAAGGGCAGTAGCAATGTTTGTACATGCCATGATTGATAGGCAAACTCTGCATTTTTCATTTATATCTCCTGATTCCAAATCAGTTAAGTTTAGGAAAAATGAAACAAAATGGCAAGAAAAATGCTTGCAGATTGCAGCCCAGCACTCTCGTAGATCTGAGTTCAGCCCACATCTGCTAGGATTGTCTGGAAACATTAAGATATCTAAATGAAAATCAATACTATATGTGCCAGCATTTACTACCAAGAACAAGTATCAAGAGACCTCAGCTAATCAGGCTTTCAGCTTGTACTTGAGCCATAGTCTGAACCCCAGGGGTGTCCTAATTGGCCCAGACTAATCATAGAAGAGTTAAATTTATAACCAGGAAAGACATCTTGTTTTTCTTACCAGTCGTCATTTTGTAGCCAAAAGCCTCACCTGTGTGGTAGCAGATGTATGGTGATAGTCACTGGTCATGCAAGAACTGCTTCTCACCTGTCAAAGGTAAAGGAAAGACTAATTTACTGTCTTCCATAAAACCAGTCAGGCACATTTAAGCTTTTGGTGGGTACTATCAAACCTTTCACATGAACTGCATATTTTCTCAACTTAAAAGCTCCCCATTTAGCCCTCATGTATTAGAACGTGAAAGGATTATGTTTAAGATTAAGAGCCCCTATACACACTACACTTGTCCCAATAATATTTTTGTTTTGTCAGAAGTTTTTCCCCCTTTACCTCATTCCACAAAATATGACATAAATACATTTTGGAATCAAATACTGGTAATACTAACATTTTACTTCTTTTTCCTTTTTTTCTACAGAGGGATCATCATTCTTTGGAATCTCTGTAGAAACCAATACATTGTGTCTTCATAGGGCACAACAAAGTACATCATGCTATTCTTGCTATCCTGAGCCACAAATATGCACAGCCTCTCCAGAAACACACCATACCATACTGATGAAAGCCATAATGCATCAAGGGACTAGCTCCTAATATTTGCATTTGGGATGCCAACTGTGAGCATATTTTGTGCTATTTTCAACAAATTAAACAAAAATATGCAAAATGTTTATATAGCTTAAGTCTTCTATTTTGGGCTTCAGCAACATAATTCTGTATAGATTTTTTTTAACAGAACAAAAAATATGGTGAGTTTAGCTTGAAAATTCAAAACCTAGGGTTTTTCACGTTTTCTTCAAAAGCACATGTAAACCTCCCAGGAGACTTGCATCTACCAGAAGTTTAATAACATTATTTGGATTCTTTTGTCCTGTATTTTAGATGTATTTTTAATGTGTACTTCTTAAAACAAAACAATAGTTGTCAAATACTGTATTATCTTCTCACTAACATTAACAGTTTCCTAGACAGTGCTATCATGGAAACATCATGGCGTGTTGTGATCAATGAAAGCTTGTTTCTCACATGCCATGATGTTTTCCTTGGATTCGCATCTCTCAGTAGTGCATGCTGTGAAAATTTGTCAGTTGTTTTACCTCTAAGGATCTCTCTTGTCCTCCATGTTTAAGCTACAGCACTGACTTTCTGAATCAGTCTTTGTTGCTTCTTGTGGAATGGGATGGCTCACTTCATCTTGCCCCTCTACTCCCTAGGCCTGATAACTTTTACTGTGCTTCTCTGTATACACTAAAAACCAGACAAGGCAATGAACCAAATGAAAATGAGCTTGAATTTTAGTAAATCGACACAAATCTGATAGAGGGGAGAAAAGCAGTAAATCCTTAATCTCTCAACAGTTTGATTTTAAACACAGATAACAAAAGTAAACTAAAGGAGGCAAGTCTGAAAAGGAATATCCATATAAGCAAGTGGCATTCCCACCCTGATGCATGATGCATATACAAAATTAGGTCCAACCTGACACCTTCTTCCTTTAGTTTGGTTCCCTTTTTTATTTTTATAAAAACATGGCAATATCAATTTGTTTCCCAAACCTGTTGTTCTTAGTTTTTGCCATAGAAAACCCTTTCTGTACAAGCCTCAAGTTCCTTCCAAATCCCCTTGTGCATGAGGATGATCCTAACAAATCTGTTCCTCATGATATAGAGGAAGATCTCCACCCAAAATATCCTATCCCCACCAGTCACCAGAGTGAAATCCTGTGTCAATTGAGATCAAAAGCAAAACTCCCACTGAGTTTTGCAGTGAAGATAGGATTTTACCCTAGGTGGTCAGTCTCTGCCTTGGCATTCTACCACCTCTATAAAGAGCAGGTACTTCGGGGTGAATCTATACAGAGTTTTGGCAAAATCTGCCAAAGTTTTCCCCTGAAGAATTTTGCGGAGCATTCAATTAATGTATTGTGCTTTAGAAAGGTCTCATCTTCCAGGAATATTTATAAAGAATACAGATAAGGAAACATCTATGCATCACAAAGAATTATGAAAACTATGCATCGCATGAAGAATTCTACAGGGCAGAATATCTTTATACTTAAGTTCAATTATAATGTGATAATTCGCCAGGTAACAATTCAGAAAGTTATCATTATAGGATAAAATTGGGAGTCAGGTGCTGAAGACTAGTCTCAGTTGGTTCAGATAAGGTTCAAGCCTGTACAGGAGTAGTATCTCCCTGAACTCTGCTGAATATGGACTTCTACTCTCTGACCCTAAGGGTAGAAAGGTTCCTTCAGTGCTGCTCCTCTAAGCTACAATTAAAAATAATGAAGAAGTCAAAACAATGTGGGCAGATTTCTTGAGCGCTTGGGTTTCTGGACAGCAAAGGCATTTTGCTTTAAAAAGTACAACAGCATTAGAGGGGTGTCCTCAAGTCTTTCTAAAACACTCCTACCACATTTGTGATCTGACACACTCTGCAAAGGTTGCCTTTTGTGAAGGAGAAAACAGATTTAGTCTCAGGGAAACTAACAGCTTTGGATATTCAAGTACATAAAAGCAGCTGGACAAAGAGAAAACTAAGATCAGGAATGTAGAAAACCCAACTTCAAAAACATTCTTACTTGCAATAACAGTGGAGAAGATTTGACTTTTATGCTTCCCAAAAAACAGATCCTGTCTGTCAAGTTAAAGAAGAACTTGTCTTGATTTCCAGTAGAAATGATAGCAATGGAAACCATTTCTGGTGTTCTTTCTCATGCAGTACTGAAAATGTGACAAAGCACCATTACTTACTAACATTTAGAGTAGAGAAAAAGCATACCTAGAGTAGCTAGTAACAGTACATACGAAGATTATAAAAAACCCTAACATAAGCCGGACTAGAACCCCATTACAAAAATAGTGCGTAAAGAATTTATCACACAAGGAACTTGGAGTTGGAAGAAACTACCACAACATAAAAGAGCCACCAGGTAATTCATGGGTTTTTAAAAGTTCAAGGTTTCTTGGATATCTATTCACAGAGACCCACCAGAAAGAAATTCAAGGAAATAACTTTGTTTCCTGTATTACCTTGGGCAAAGAAGTAGTGGGTTAATGATGAGGCATAACAGACCCACAATCTAGGCTTCCCAACTCTCAGGTCACATGACAGCACTACTACTGTGGTCACATAAAGACTGAAGACTATGGAACAGACTACTGGAAGACTGACGGAGTCTACTCCATGGGTGCAGGTAATATCTGGGCTGAGGATGAGCTGATGATGATGACTGTCATATAGGAAAGGGTCTTGGAAGTATAACTAATATCCTGGCATTGTTGGAGCAAGCAGGAGAAAGATAACCTACTGTTCTTCAAGCAACCAGGAAGGGAGCAGGGGTTGGGAGCTAGGATCGCTGGCTGCTTGTGCTCCTGTTAAGTCAGCTAGGGCTTCCCTCTTCCATCAACTATAGCCTGTATTGAGCTGTAGTGGGCTGAAATCTGACCCAAAAGGGAAGCTTCAGACTAATGCCATCTGAGCACTGGTTCTGCTCCTTCTATGCTAGATAGTTCTGAACAGAAAGGCCCAACTTGTGCCAAATACACATACACTTTTTTTCCTGTATTCCAAGCCAAATTAGCCAAAATAAATCCCAAATCTGAGAGACAGTCGAGAACCATAAGTGGCCCTACTCCTCCACCCGAATCTGTGGCTTCAGATCTTTCCAAAACCTTTGGTGGGCATCCTACTTTCATGCCCAAGCCCGGAGGCTTGGGGTTTGGATGCCCCCGAGTTTCACTTGCCCTTAGCCATAAGGCCCCAGGAGCAAGCTACACATACAAACAAAGACTTCTACTGGTGAGGGCCCTTTACTGGTTGTGGAGAGAGGGAGAGTATGCATGCTTGAGCTGGTTTGTGCGTTTCAGGTGAGCAGGCTGAAGTGATAGAGTAAGTTACCTTCCCCATATTGAGGCTGAGGTTTCTCTTTTGTCTAGACAGTCATCTGGAGAGACCTCTCTGCCAAGACCACCGTATTCCAAGGGATGGAGGCCCCAACTTGTAAGAAAAGTAATTGTAGTTTGGACTCTGCATTAACACTCCAGCTAGATCTTGTTTCAAGTGGATATTGTTACTACTCACCCCACACAAGAACTACAATGAAGGTGGGACTATAAGTCCCACATGGAAATGTGAGAAGTTCCCAGATTGCCTCTGTCTGTCTCCCAGAAGACAGTTGATTTTATTCAACCTCCTGTCTACAAACACAACTTTTACTTACCAGGCCCTGCCACAACCCCTGACAAATTTACAGTTTCTGCCTTATTGAGCACGTTTTCATTTCTGTGCATGTAAATCTTAATTGTACTGTTTCCGCAGCATAATTGAGAATACACCAAAAAAAACCCAAAATTCTCCCACTTATTTTGCATGCTACAAAATAAAACCATTTAAAGTATATGTCCAATTACTTATTTTTATTAGTAATTTCACACATCTGTCTGATGCTTGTAAAAAAAAAGGTGGCAATATTATTGACTTAAAAACTACAAAGGTGACAATCTGTTTTTTGCTTTGATTTTTCTTATTTATACCTTTTTGCTACTATGCATTTTCCATATGTATATTTCCCTAAAACCCAACAAAAGCACTTTAACTATAAGCAAGTATGAACATGTCATTTTCATATATAGTGCTCACTCATTTGGACAAGCCAACTTAGAAATACAAACAGTATAATCAAGAGCCCAAATGGAGTCTAAAGATGTCATTTAAGTCCAAGGAGCCCAATTTAGGTCAAAGAAGCCCATTCCCAATTCACATCCCTTTTGCAACTATGTTGTTTTAGTATATCTAGATACAAAGCAAATAAGATAGCACTGCAACATGAGAACAATTTGTTGTAGAAGAGAAAGGTTAGAAACTTTTATTGGAATTAAAATGTACATCCCATAGAAATATATTTGAAGAATTCACATTTGTACTTAGTTAAGTCTTTCTATAATCCTTGCCTCTGACTGATAAGCACTCTTTATTCATGGTTGTTTCCCATGACTAAATTCTCTCCCTTTCATTGTATTGCCATGGCTTCCACATACTGATCAGCTTTTGTCACAACATCATAAATATAATTCAGCTGCTAACCCAGCTCACACTGAAGCCTATGCTGTCATGGCTTCATTGCTTTTAGTGCCAGAGCTAAACAGTTAAAGGTAGCTTGGGTATATCTAAGCAAACTTCAGTCCCACCCTTGGGTTGCAGTATTGACATCTCAAAAATCTCTGAGAAGACCTATCTCTTTACATTTACTTAGGATGTAAAAAGGGGGTGAAAACTAGTTCCAGAGGCCTTTGTTTTATCGCCCAATACAGGGAAACACACAGCTGCCACAATGTGCCTGCTCTATTCCTTCCCCAGGTTTGCATCAGGGGCTTATCAGGAGTAGGAGGATGGCATGGCAGAGCCTTTGTTCTTTACCAGCATAGGCTGAGTGAAAGCACCCAACCTCAGTGGCAAGCCTCAGCTAAGTATAGACAGCCAAAAAGCCAGAGGCTGAATCAATTCAGTCTTTGCAAGGTAGTCTACTCTGTGTAGATTGAACTGAGAAGCAAATGAATAGACATTAACTTTTGATCCTGGAAATGCAGCCACATGCCTGCAGTGGCTCAGGACAAAAGTTGGGGCATACAAGAGCACACCTCCCAGCTACTGCCAAAGGGAAGGGAGCAGAGAAGCCCTCCAAGGCTCTCCTCCCCTCCCTCCTCGAGTAGAGAGGGCACAGCTAGGCCCCAGCCTAGGGCCAGCATGTGAAGGCCAGGGGAAAGGCAGATTTAAACCCCGCTCCCTGGCCCACAAGCATGGGCAACTGGTGCATCCTAATCCTGGGGAGGCACCAGTGGCTGATCACCAATGGGTAGGAGAGGTCCCCTAGTGGCCAACTGGGGGGGACAGCGGCCAATCACTGCTATTGGTGGAAGTGCCAGTGGCCAAACCGGAAGTGCCGGTGGCAAACCCAGAAGTGTCACCAGCGCTTCTCTCAGGGGGTGCACGGCCAATCTCAGGGGGTGCATGTGCACCCCCTATGCATTGCCAATGCCCACAGGGGACCCCAGCCCCAATCTGCCAGGGGAAGCAGCCCCTGTTAGGCTTCTGTCCCCCACTTCCCACTGGGGGGGGGCTATTCCTGCCAGGTTTTTGTACCCCGTCAAGCAGATAGTCCACATCCTGACTGGAGGCTCACAGGCTGAGGTGCGGAGGCCTTCCTTGGCTGCATGGGACCACAGCTTGGGTCTACCTTGGAGGAA